TCTATCCACATAGATGTGCATGTGTTTGTGTACGTGTGTGTAGAGACTAGAAGTAAACTGTGGTTTCCTTTGAGTGGTGGGGTTGCACGTAACTACTGACTTTTATTTTGAACTTTTCTGTATTTGCTGAATTTTCTCCAAGAACATGCATGATGAATTATAAATCTATTGCTAAATGGATGTATATCCGTTAAAAAAATCACCTGGTTTAAGTAATTTACCTTATTTCCAGAGACTTAAAATTGATATGTTTTCTTTAAGAACCTTATGCATTTGCTTCAAAATCAAAATACAGTATTAATGCCAGTGATTATTCCTTTAGACTGCCTGAAAGAACAATTCTCTTGCAGGATGTTCTCATTTAATCAGAATACAAAAGGCCTTGCTCCAGGGCAGTGCTTGGGAAGAGGGGGGAGGGAGAGAGGGAGGCTTTTGTAATCAGAAGGTACCTCTCTACCTCCCCATCATGCTATTTTATAAAGGAAAGACCAACACCAGCACTGAGAGTTAAATGGCTTGACCAAGTCCCCATATGAACCAGCCAGCTGGTGGTTGTCACAGCAGCAGTCCCCAGGGCACAGAGTTCCAGCCCCAGACTCCTGGAACCATGGCACCTTTCTTGGGCGTGACTCTTGGAAAGTGACTGCATTACAAAGGAGGTGATAACAGAAACCCAGTGACATGGAAGAAAATGATTTTTCTCTAGCACTGGAGAATGTTTCAAGAGGATCATGCACCCTACTTTCTGCTGTCACTGGTCTGTCTTCATGGCTGGAAATGTCAAATCCTTTAAGGGATGTTGAAGGGGCAGTTCTGTACTCCCTGTGACTACATACCACAGACCTTTCTAAGTGTCAGGACATCAGAAAAGTTTGATTTTTAGTTAAAGGTTTCTAGGTTGTGAGTCCCATTCTCAGATCATTTCTGAATATCCGGCTCCTGTAAAACATGTCTTCTGAGCTAGGGTAGAAAGCTACCATGGAGCCTGATTTATCTGGGCTGGCCATCTCCACTGACCAAATAAACATAATCATTGTCAAATCTCGCCTTCTCTTTTTACTGAGGAGTGCAGAAAAGCCTAATCCGTCCTCTCGGGAGTCGTAACACGGGCCTGGTCTAAAAGCTCTTTTAACATCATGAAGAGCATTAAGACCAAAATCTTTTAAAGGCCAATGAGAAAGTCATAACATTTTTCACTAGACTTAGGAATGAGGGCTCCCTACTATAAATTCAAGATCAGTGCCTACAAAAATGTTGGCAACCCTCACTGTATGAAATGATGTTTTTTCAATGTTTTCCCAGTGAAGTAAAAGCAAATGGCAGCAGATCTGTCTCCTTTGGTTTAACAAAGAGAAAGACACAAAGAAGGAGGGGAGGAAGGGAGAAAGGAAAAGAGAGAGGGAGGTAGTGAATTAACAATGCAGCATTCAAGTAAGAATCTGAAATAAGAAAGATGAAAAACATGTTTGCAAATAACACTGTGTTTTTTGGAGTGTCTTTGTCTCTCTGCCTCATGGATAAAGAGGTTGATGAGCACGCTGTGCCAGGCATACAGCGCTGAGAGTATGAAGAAGGCACGCATTATAACATTCCTGAGTTCTGTGGCTAAGTTCCAAGTCAGTAAACATATTCCACCTATTCTAAAATCTAATGTACAATTTTAAACTTACTGTATTAGTTACAGTTCTGTTTAAGCCAGATCAAAGGAGAGGCAGAGTCCCTACAGAACTAAATAAACTAGGCTTAATAAACCAACTACACCTGCTGCAACCCTTAGCACCTCCATCATCTGTCTGCAGGAGAAAGTCACAGTCAGCAGAACACTGTCTTCCTTGAGACTTGCTGGTCACAATTACTAGATCAAATATGCCCCAAAATACAATCTTCCCCATGACCTACTATGTGCCAAAGTAGAATCTGTTTTGGGAAAAATTTCTCCCTCCATTCCCACGTAGGTAATTTGTTTCCCCAACAACTCAAAGACTGAATTCAGCTTTCTGAGAACAAAAAGGCCCCCTTTAAGACGTTGGGGGTATACTCCCAAATGGACTAGGGTACCATTTTGCATATAATGGGCACTCACTGTATATGAACTAGATGCTGTTGGAAAAATGAACTTCACTCTGCCTCCTTACTCAGCCTGTTCTTCTGTTGCCATTAAGCAAACTCAATCATGAAAAGGATTTTCAAATGAAGATTCCACTGACCAAGTAAATGTTTCCATTTGGAACAAAGGACTGGTCTGCTATAGACCTGGCTCTCTCTGGGGATCTCTTACTTAAGTTCTCTCCTGCATAATTAGTGAGTTTATTTCCCATCTTCCCACTAAATTATTTATAGATAGATACTGTGAGTACTCATCTTTTTTTTACAGCGCATATAGTGCTTAACTCATAATAGGAACTCAGATATTGACCAAATCATTATTATTAGCTTTCAGATCATGACAATTTCAGGAAGAACACGGAAAGGGGGGAAGGCTCTGCTCCTGAAATGCTGCTCTTGGCCCTAACTCCCCTAACTCAACACAATACTCTATCCAAGCTTAATGAATATTAAACCATACCAGACATACATGTACAAGGATCAAGAATGAATTTATGCAACATGCCTTTTTGCTAAAGTTTTCCTTTTGCTAATTAAATTGTTCCCCCCCCCTTTTTTTTTGGCCTCTAGACAATGGTTTCATTTGTGAATTCCAGCTCTTAATCAGCCAAACTGGTTAAATGTATTAACATGAACCATCCCTCCTAAAAAGAGGCAAAGAGATTGCTTTTAGTGTGGCTCAAGCATATTTTCAGAAATATTTAATAAATATTCTATTTAAATAGGGGAATAGGAAGAAATATTTTAACCCATTCCAAGGTCAAGGGATTCTTTCTCCACATTTCAACTCAGTAAGAATTCAAGACAGATTGTAGTTTTTTTTTACCACACTGAAGATGCTTAACATCGATTATTGACATTATCATCAATATTCTGCAAGTGATAATATGGTACCTAAAATCCCCTATGCCTCTACCCTGTCTGTATAGACTTCACGTTGGCTGAGGGTCACCACGTATCTGCCCGAGGGAGACCTGGTTCATTACTGATTCTCAGTAAAAAGTATACTGACATATTCATTTCTTAGACTCATTTTTAAAAAATCCAATATAAACAATCTCCCCTTTGTTTCCAAATTTAAATTTGTTCCAAAAATTTCTAGAGTAGTAGCCAAGTCTTGGTCATTGTATATGTTCATAAAAAAAACCAACACTAAAGAAATATGTGGGAGTTAATCTACGTTAGAATTTCAACCAAGATTTGTCAGTAAACCAGAGGAAATTTCACAGGATAGATGGAATTTGGGATAGGAGGGGCACCAGTGTAACTAGAGGCATTATTAAAGAATTGTTTAGAAAATGTTCTTAATATGACCTCTGAAATCCAAGGATTTAGAACACAGACCATTACAAACTTAAAAAAAATTTACCCTTCCCTCACTTAACTTTAGGATTACTATACTACTGAAAAACTATCACTGGCTACACTTGGTGCTGGCCCAAGTTATGTAGGTCAGTGTGCAGAGTGATCATAAACACCCTGTAGGTTAGGGAGCACTCAATATACATGTCCTAATCTTTTTAACGTTTCTTATTCAATCACCTCTTCTTTTGCTGAATTCACATAGTAACTGTCCATTTTGTGACATAACACCAACCTGCTTTAAGAAGAGCTGTGTACATTTGTCTTTTATTACTACTATAATTAGAATATTTGTATTCACTGCACCCCCCCAACGGGGAAACAACCTGAAGGGGTTGCCCACTCCCCCAGCACTAAACTTCCAATATGTTTTTGTTGAATCAGTTATTTCCAGTGTATAGGCAGAACAGCATTCTAACACACTAGCCGTAACCGTATTACTTGTACACACTGATTTAAATGACAGCAAATTCACTTTCAGCTTCTCCTTTCCTGAAGCTAGTCTTGCATCTCCCCAGAGCGGGTATTCCCTGGTCCCGTGAAAGGTTCAGACACAGGCGTTCTCAAGCTTTGCGATATGAAATACTAACGAGGAAGGCAGGCGCTAAGCCTTAAGGGTTTCTTATCTCCCTGTGTTCGCCCACCACTGAGAAGGGGGAACCAGGGAAGGACCACTGACCCAGCCGTCGGACCCTGTCCGCTTTCGTCCTGGCCACTTTGATCTCGCGCGTCTGCCTAATCAAGTTCATCTACTGCCGCGACTGCTCAGATTCAAAGCACATTAAATAGCTTGATTATCGGATGTTCATTTCCCTCTTCCCTCCACCCCTGATCTCATTTCCAAACGCCAGTCTCTCGCCTCCCTCTCTAAACTTCCCATCAAAAGAGAATTAGTTCTTCTTCCTTCTTACCCTCGTTTGATGTGCTAATGTCTTTCTCTTTGCACATTTTTCCCGTGGTGGCGGGTGGCGGGGGCTGGGGGAGGTGGTGGGCACAGAAGCCAGGGGAAGGAACTGAAGGAACTTCAAGCAAAGGATCTCACCCCAAATCTGCAAACCGTGACTGTAAAGAGTTAATCAGCAACTTGCAACGGCCACTTGACCCTCTCGCTAGACTCTGAATTACTAATTGATTTGTACTTAATACTGAATATTATCTACGCGCTCAATAAATCAGTACGAGCGTAAGGAAGAGATAAGTGGTTTTGCAGAGAGTATCACAATGCCTGCATGAAAAGTACTTCAGATCCCGATATTCCAATCCCTACTTCAAGGCAAGGGCACCCAAGTTCCCGAAGTTCCACCGTCTTTCCGCATTTATTAAAGTCGTTTCCTCTAATGCTCACTGATTACCATCACCCCGAAGGTGAGCTGGGCAGAACGGCGGCCGCGCGCAAGGGAGGGGCGGGGTGAAGATTGTCAAAGGCTCCCCTTCATGTACACAAACACACCCCCTCCCAGCCCCTCCCAACGCTTTGAAATCCCAACCCGGCTTTGTTGTCTCCCCCCAAGGGGCCGGAATGCTCAGAGCCCGCAGTATAAAGGCAGCCGCGGTGGCGGTGGCCGCGCAGAGCCCCGCAGTGAGGACTCCGGGACCGGCGGAGGCTCTCGGAACCCTGACTCTGCAGCTGCGCCGGCACGGCTTCCTGGGGACCAGGCTTGCGAAGTGACATTCCTTTCTCTTTCTCTCCCTGAGCCTTTCTGAGATGACGACTCTGGGCACAGTAGGTGCTGCCCGGGTCTTGGCAACCCTGGTAGCTGCGGCTCTTTGCAGCCACCCTCTGCTCGGAGTGAGCGCCACCTTGAACTCGGTTCTCGTCAATTCCAACGCCATCAAGAACCTGCCCCCATCGCTGGGCGGCGCTGCCGGGCACCCAGGCTCCGCAGTCAGCGCTGCTCCCGGAATTCTGTTGGAGGGCGGCAACAAGTACCAGACGGTTGACAACTACCAGGTGAGAAGGGTCTCAGGGATCTGGGGACTCTGTGACCTTGAAGTGGTCTCATTTGGGGAGGAGGGAGTAGAACGTGCTAGGTGTGCGCGGTTCAAGGCTTATTCGGAAAATCTGCCTTTTGGTGCAGTGGGCAGCAACAGCTTTTGGAGAGGTGGGCAGAAAGGGACTCTGATGAGCATCCAAGTTCAGGAGTCTGGTACCTGGATGCCCAGGTGCCTCACCCTCTCCTGGCCCCATTCCCACAGCCATACCCATGTGCCGAGGACGAGGAGTGCAGCACTGATGAGTACTGCGCGAGTCCCACCCGCGGAGGGGGCTCCGGTGCGCAAATCTGCCTCGCCTGCAGGAAGCGCCGAAAACGCTGCATGCGTCATGCTATGTGCTGTCCTGGGAATTACTGCAAAAATGGTGAGTCGGGCAGCTCCCTTTCAGACTCAGACTACCCACTACGAGCCTGAGCCTACCGCTGGGAGACAACGCTCTGCTTTTGAGAACACGCTGCACCACCTGCAAGTGGGACTTCAGCGTGAGAGGTTCCCCTGCAATACCTTCGTGGCGAGTGTTAAATTTGGGAGCAAAGAGAAGTAAGGAAGTTCTGGAGCTCCTTATCTTCCCCTGTGCCCCTCGATTATTTAACACGACGTCTTATCTCAGAGTGGACCCTTACACAAAAATTTGTCTAGGGAGAGTCTTGACACCATTTGAGAAAGAAGATGGGGTGGGGAGGTGGAATTATACAGAGACCAAGGAAACCAGAAGGGATGTTTAGTTGCCTCTTTCATTTTTCTTATAGTGCCTCTCCCTCACGATCCCTGTTCAAACTGTTATCTGTCAGCAGACGGTGATTTATCTGTGCTGGCCATTCTTCAGGGAGACCTTGATAGCCTTGCATCTTGGCGTCTCCATCCTTCTCTGCCTCCAAGTCCCGCTGCCATAAAATAAGTACTCCTCCCCTCAACCACATGTCCACTAAAATTTAATGTCTCAAAGAGGTAGATTCAGACAGCCAAAGAAGTCTCCAGAAATAAACTGAAGGGTGGCGACCCTTCTTAGGACCAGTAATACTCCGGGATGAACTAAATCTCTGTAATACAGAAATTATACAGTAAAGTAACTGGTGAGTGAGATTGTAATCTTCGAGGCAGCTGGTGTTGCATTTGCTTAACTTAGTCTGGCAGTACCCATATAGCACTAAGGGCAGAGAAGTTATTTTTAAAAACTTACAGTGACTGATTTTATTTTTCTTATCCCAAGGGTGATATTAAAATGGGCAGAAATCTCATTGCCATTACCACAGTTGGTGGGAAGTGTCTTAAATGGCTAGATTAGGGATATTGCCTATGAGTGCACACTGACGCTTCTACCCACTTGGGGAATTTTGCTTTAACAGTAGAAAGGAAGTTTGGTTCATGTTTAAAATAGTGTTACTATAATGAGGTAACTCAAGTCGGTGCAGGTATAACAGACTGCCACTGTCACAGCTATCAGCAGTAACACATTCCAGGTCAGGGGTTAAACACTATCTTCTCCTTCCTTAGGAATATGTATGCCTTCTGATCACAATCATTTCCATCGAGGGGAAATTGAGGAAACCATTATTGAAAGCTTTGGTAATGATCACAGCACCCTGGATGGGTACCCCAGAAGAACTACACTGTCTGCAAAAATGTATCATAGCAAAGGTAGGTTTAAAAGACCTTGAGATTCATTCTTTTTGGTTAGCACCCCAAGGTGTCTTTTGGACTACCTTAATGAAATAACGGAGGCTTAGCAGTGACCATGTGCTTTTCCTATTGTCTCCTCCTTCCTAGGACAAGAAGGCTCTGTCTGTCTCCGATCATCAGACTGTGCCACAGGGTTGTGTTGTGCTAGACATTTCTGGTCCAAAATCTGTAAACCTGTCCTCAAAGAAGGTCAAGTGTGCACCAAGCACAGGAGAAAAGGCTCCCACGGGCTGGAGATATTCCAGCGTTGTTACTGCGGAGAAGGCCTGTCCTGCCGGATACAGAAAGATCACCATCAAGCCAGTAATTCTTCTCGGCTTCACACCTGTCAGAGACACTAAGCCAGCTGTCCGAACACAGTGGACTCCATTTACCTAATATATTCTATGAAAACCATTTGTGACTTTTGTGAGCTCAATCCTTAAGGATATACAGATTCTGTGGTTACAGTTAAACATTCCAATAATACCTTATGAAAATCTGGAGTGTAAGAGCTTTGTTTCTTTATGGAACTCCCCTGTCATTGATTGCAGTAAATTACTGTGTTGTAAATCTCAGTGTGGCACTTACTTGTAAATGCAACAAAACTTTTAATTATTTTTCTAAAGGTGCTGCATTGTCTATTGTTCTTCTCGTTATGTAAATTTTTGTACACATTGATTGTTATCTTGACTCTAATATTCTATATTGAATTGAAATAAATAATTTCAGCTGACACTTCCTAAATGCATAAGCCTTTCCCCTTTTAATTCTAGAATCTAGAATGCAAAGAGCTTTTAGAATGGCAAATGATAGGTATATAAAATTAATCACGAAAATATTAGCTTATTTTCCAAAATGTACTATCTCAGTGCTTGGATTATGTTTAGCTCTAGGCTGTGATAGTCCTTGAAATAAAATTTAACATTTAATACCATGAAGTGTTACAAGTATAGATAAATTTTGGCAGTGTGATCTGAGCGAGCTGTATGTATGTGGTGTTTGCATGTAAACAATTGATAAATACATGCAGATTTTGTACCAAATTAGTTAATTTTAAGTATCTTAAATACCACTTCATGCCAGAAAGACTTGTTCTAATTTGTTTGATTTTTAAATAATTATTACATAAAAACCACAAATCCTCTCTCATTTCATTCTTTTCTCTTGCTACGTGAGTTGAATATTTCAATTTTTGCTTAACCAGAAATCTGTTGATTAGAATAAGGATGCGGGTTTATTTAAAAGAAAATCCACAGAAATGAAATCTATACTGACTTTGCATTTTTACTTGCCAACTTTGATACTGGCAAATACGAGACGGGGGAAGGGGAGTACAACGGTCCTAATTTACACTTATTCTGTAATATACAAAAAGTCCACATCCAAACCACACAATGCTGGCTTTGAGGCACTCCAGAGGACAGTGACTGATCAACTGTCTAGAACATTTCCTTAAATAACACAGATGCCCTAGAATGTTTGTTGTTTTTGTATCCCTGGAAGTGGTTCGATTTCAAGGGTCTTTGCCAACAAGACACAAGGGTTGGTTGGTTCTTCCCTGAGAGGGGAACCGGCAGGATGTCTGTTGTTACATTCTTTTTGTCTGCAAGTTTCAGCTTCCTCACCCTGGAGAAGCTTTCTTTTTCTACATGTGCTTGTTGGCTGATGTGCCAGGAAGGCCAATTCTAAGGCCTGCTGTCTCCAATAAAGCACAGTAGAGGAAACAGGAAACCCTTTCTTCAAAAAGAAGAAAGAAGGGCCTCTGTTTTAAGAGGGGAGAGGAGCAATTGTTTAAAGGGCCTTGGTTATGGGATCCCTTCACTCCTACAGGAACGGGCTGAGGCCTGACTCTGCCTCTGCACATCTCAGCACCAGTCCTGGTTCTAGCCCTTCTTGCTTCCCGTGGCCTGATGGGGATGGGAGAACAAGAAACCTACCATGGGCGGATGCCTCTTCTTCCTATCCATCTGAGGAGTTAGAAAGGCATATCAAAATGAAATTCTGCACATTTATTAAGGTGAAAAAAGCATCAGAAAAACTGCAGATACTTTATTAGCTAGTAATGAAGGCTGGAAGATGGAAGTCAGATACAATACAAAACAGGATCATGTAAGGAACCTCTAACATTTTAGATAGTGGCTGTTAATATTTGAGGAGTATTTTAACAATTTATTTGAATGGAAAACACAAGAATTTGGGAATGCATTCACAAGGTATTTCCTCAAATGGTAGCATACTCCACACTGCCCTGTGCCTTGTACATTTTAAGTGTCTCACAGATCAGTCTAGGTAATACATAGAGAGGAGTCTCATTTCTTTTAATGGTTGCCTTGAAAGTGTGGCATTTTGGAATGGCTATTCTGTAATTTACTTCAAGAGTCATTATTGAGAGACAAATTGTTTCCAGTGTTTTTGTTTTATATTCTGCCATCAGTAGAGAATCTTTTTGTGTTCCTGAGCTGATATTGTTGTAGGATAAGATAATGACTCATTTTGGAAACAAAATCCGAATATAAAAAGCAGACTTTCTGTAGCTCCTCACAAGGGGTGTCATGGGCAAATGTCCAGATGCCTGCTTATCATTGATCTGGTGATGACTGAACTCTTGATAAATTGTATCAAAGGATGAGGAGGGAAATATAGGCTCTTCCTAACAATTTCACACTAAACAGTCATCTCTGTTTTAGTTTTTAGTTAAAGGTAGTTAGTTAAAGGTAGACTTGTTCCAATTCCTTTGATTTCAAAATAATTACTAAATACAAAATTAAGTTGTTACCCCTTTTTATTGTTTCGCTAGAAGAGTTAAATATTTCAAATTTTGTTTAACCTGAAATATATTGATAAGAATGAGGATGGGAATATATTATATGGAAAAAAAATAAAGATATGCAACCCAAATGTGACTGTTCAAATTTCAGCAGATCAAAACAGTTTATGGATTTTTCCCATGGTAAATCAAATTATACCAATTCAATCATGGACTTAGTAATAGTCACGTTGTGATAAATGTTGTCAATTTCAGTATTTCTAATCACATAGTCAAATTAGCACCTTATGGAAATTTCAGGTAAAATCATTAAATTTTTCTTCATTTTTAACTATAATATCTAACTTTATCAAGCTACCAACTTTGTTTACAATCTTAAAGAGAAATGGACAATGCTACCATTAGGCTTATAACATGTGTTCCATTGAGTTCTATATTACAATTATCATATTTTCTAAATTATTACTGGGTACAGTACCAACATAGAACTATTTATCTCCACACTAAAAAAAAGTCTCCATAATCTAGGCATCTGATATTTGTACAAATGTGTGTATATATGGGGGCCTTTATATCTGTCCTAATGTTAACAGCTTAGAAACAGTCAAATCTATGATTTGAGACTACCAACTGGGTAATGCTAGAGAATTTTAATTTAATTAACATTTACTGAGCCTTTGGTGCTCAATAGGTACTATACTGGCATTTGAAACAATGTACATAATATCCTCTCTAATGTCATGGAACTCACCTTTTAGCAAAAGGGGATGATAAACAACTATTAGTGCTGGGGTTTGGTTCAGTACAGTGGTTTGAGACATAGTGCATGGAATCAGATTTGTGATGGAATCATGGCTCACTCTGTTTCTAACTAAATGATGTTGGGCAAAGGATATAACCTCATTAGTAATGTGGAGTGAATACCAACTTTAGAGTGTAGATGTGAGAATAATGCATGCATTATAATAATACTTAGCATTATTTATAGCTTATAGTAAGAAATCCATTTTAGATCTTTTCTATTGAAAGACATTTTATAAGATATTGTGACTACCTAACAACAGATTAAAAGTGATTAAATCAGCCTGTAGGTGCTCCAAAAAAGCTTCAGGGAAGCAGTGGTATTTGGACCATCTTCTCTTCAAGTCCATTTATTTTAAGGAAGAGAAACTATTAAACTAGAGAAAGCAAAAGGGATACACGGTTGGAATGCAACCTCCCATGGAAATTGGTATGAAAACCATCCTGCAGACTGGCTTCATAGCTTGCTAATGATTTCTGCTCTACTGTAATTTGCACATGTCTGTGGCTTGTCACAGTAGCACATATCCTGTCCCCAATACAAGTGACTTCGGGCTCAGCTCTGCTCAGCAAACTGCTTAGCCTCTCAGAGACTCTACTCCAAATTCTTGGGCGAGGGTTCTGATTAGTTCAGCTTTGATCTGGGGTTCACCTCTGGTCTGCTTGGCTACCCAGATCCCAAAATACAAACACAGCTAACTACATCCAGCCCACCCTTTAATAAGAACTTTGGTAGTTCTACAAGGCACCATGTGTCATGTCTACCACATATTAGTTTTGAAGAATGAGCAGGGGGTTCACAAGGTTGAAAAGAAAGGGTGTTGGAGACAGAAGAAGCAATGTGAGCCAAATTACAAAGATATAAAAATGAAATACTGTGTTTAAAAAAAAAAAAGGCAATAATCCACCATGGCTGAAGTGTGGGGTATCTGAGAGGAGGACTTTGCTGCTTCGATATGTTTGTAACTTAATTTGTTGCTTTGATTTGGTTGTAACTTAATTTGTTATCTAGGAAAAAGAAAAGGTAGAAACTCTTCATTTTCAGCAACAGTTACCGTATTAGGTGAAAATGGAGTTGAAGACAATGTCTGATACGTATTTTGTCTCAAAAGATTACTAGACTGTCTTCACAAACTGTGGTGATATTTTTTGCCAAAAAAGTCATAAAATAAGGATAACATTACTTTATTTCCAGCATAAGTTGTTGTATTAGGTAGAGTTGGAATTAAAGAAACTATATTTGAGATTTCTGTTTTTGACTTGTAATTAATACATAGCTTTCACAAATCACGGAATTATTTTTGGCCAAAAAAGTCATATAAATTAAAATCATATGACAGTCTCTATTAGTGAATGTAAAATTACATTTGAAGGCCAGTGATAATTGACCCCCCATAGTGATAACCTATGAAACAAGTTTAATAAAATAAAATTGGTGGAAGACATGAAGCATATCTGAGAATAACTCCGTATTACACTTCACAGTATTTCACACTAACTTTATTCTGATGGGTAAAAATTACTTTTAAAGAGAGCTACTGTTGGATAATTTCATGTATCTGTGATGCTCTCAAGTTCTAATTAAAAGAAGATAATAGTCTTGGCAGAGGATCAGAAAACAGGGCAGTCTCATACACTGCTAGTAGTAACTGCAATTGGCTTTACCTTTCTGGAAGGCAATTTGGCAAGTATTTTTAAAATGTGAAAATTCCCCCTGCAGCAATTGAACTTATACAAATTTGTTCTAAGAACTGAATCATGAAATGTGTATACAAAAATCCATCTGCAGTGACATTACAATAGCCCGAATTAAAAATGAATTGTGTCTAATACGAGAGAACTGTTTAGATAAAACATGTCCTGAAAATATTCTGCAATCATCAAGCTTATCTGGAGAAATGTTCATATTTCTTCATGTTAGAATGTTTTTAAAAGTTATATTACAGAACATATACAGTATTATCAGAATTACCTGTAGTAACATCAAATATGTTAGTCTAGACAGCCATATCTGGATGGTAGGATTATGGAAACCATTTAATCTCCTTCTTTTCATTATTTTCCATTTCCACTCAGGCAAGATATTACTACTAGCAGTAAATCTAAACTAAAAACTTAGGTATTCTTCAAACGTTTGGACATGTCAAGTAGATATCTTGACGCACCTCATTCTGATTAGGGTCATCGCTTCCTTCTTGCCTACATTTAAAACCCTTCTATCCCTATCAATCTAATGGTCAGGGCATCCAGTGTGCAAAGAGGAATACTCCGTTGTGCCAAGAGGAATACTCACATTGTGATGCCAACATCCTCTTAAACACTGTATATTTAAGAACGTTATCAGCAGTACAGAGTTACTCTTCCCTGCATTTCCCAAACATATCCTCTCC